TCTTTCCAGTCAAGTTTCGCGTCAAGTCCAAGTCAAAGACAACCAAGTCCAGTCCAAGTCTTTAACTTTGAATTTTCAAGTCGAAATCATGTCATTTGTCAAACTTCAATTTGATGATGAATATAATGAATTAATTCCAGAAATAAAACTTCTTAAAGCTTAATTTAAACAAGCAGAAAGTGCAGCTGAAATTACTTATAGTCAAAGTGCTGCTGCATTTAGTGGTAAATCGAACCCAGAACGAAGAATGATTTATGATTTTTGTCCTTGGCAGCCTTGGCGGAATCCAAGTCTCATTGCGAACGAGCCCGACCTACTGCCGGCAATGCAGACCAAGCTCTGAGACCGGTCATACGGGACCCTAACAGCCCATATCAAAGAGCCTGGGTACCCGTACTCCCGGAGCACCGCCCACAAGGCCCCCGAGGTCAGGGCCGGATTATCATTGCAGGGGCCCCTGGGCACAATGTGCTTGTCTCCTGGCTCCTTCCTCCTCTTTTTGTCTCCACTTGTTTTCCTCTCTTGCCTTCAGAAAAACTGCTTTCTGGCCTTTCTGTTAGTAAATTCCTTTACAATGTCATCAGAGTCCAGACTCCTGACAAGCTGACAAGTGCACTTGTGTTGTTCGCAGTACATTTTTCATTCTTGCCATTTGTGAAATGATCGTTCCCCTTCACAATTTGTAACTGGTAGAGTTAGAAAAATCTGCAGGGCCACAAACACCTCAGGGAAGATGGACTGTAGACTATTTTTTTGCCCGAAAACGATCCTGGTTCTACTTATATTACATAATCTACTGTATGTGGACTCTCCAGGGATTATTTTGAGCCGAGAGGCACAGAGCTCTGATCGTTGATGCACTCCAGACAGATGCGTCATGAGAACGGCCACAGTAACATTCTCAAGGTGTCGCCACCTCAAAAACAAAGTTAACACGCGATCATATATGTCGGCTCGTATCTTTTCATGCTTTCTGTCTTTTTTTGTGCCTGATGCATTTCGCCGCTGCGGAGCGGAGCGCATCACCTGTTCCATCCTCCGGTGACCACCTCACTGGTGCGGTCAGCGCACGGCGTGCACTCCGCTATGTTTGCAGTCGGTAGATCATTTTTAACTGCGGTTCAAAGGTAACTCATGAGGTGAAAAAATATGAAGCCAGGTAGCAGTTTTTCTTTAGGATTGAGAGGAGATGCAGGAAGATAATAAACAGACAGCAGGACAGGAAAGAATGGTTGGGTGAACTCCCACGCAAAGGGAATAGAGTTGGTCCAGTGTTCCACGGCCAGGACGAAAACCACATTGCTGCTCCAGAGTCCGAGGTTCGACAATCCAATGAACCCTCCACTCCAGAACCCCTGAATAGACCTTACCAGGGAGGCTCAGGAGTGTGATCCCCATGTGGTTGGAACACACCCTGCGGTCCCCCTTTTTAAAAAGGGGAGCACCACCCCAGTCTCCCGATGTCCAGGCAATATTGCAGAGCCGCGTTAGCCAACACGGCCCTACAACATCCAGAGCCTTAAGGTACTCCAGGAGGATCTCATCCACCTCCGAAGCCTTGCCACCGAGGAGCTTTTTGAAAACCTCAGTGACCTCAGCTACAGAGATTGGAAAGTCCAACCCAAAGTCCCCAGGCTCCACTTCCTCACTGGAAGATGTGCCGGTAGGATTGAGGAGGTCTTCAAAGTATCATTGCCACCGATGCACAATGTCCTGAGTAGAGGTCAGCAACACACCGTCCCCACTATAAATAGTGTTGATAGGGCACTGTTTTCCCCTCCTAAGGCACCAGATGGTGGACCAGAATCTCCTAGAAGCTGTGCAGAAGTCTTGCTCCATGGTTTCACCAAACACCTCCCACTTCTCAGTTTTTTCCTCCAGGACCACCCAAGCCACATTCTGCTGGAACTTGCAATACCGATCAACTGCCTCTGGAGTCCTACAGGCCACAAAGACCCGATAAGACTCTTTCTTCACCTTGACTGCATCCCTAGCCAGCAGCAAGTTCGGGGGTTGTACCCACGACAGGCACCACTGAAGCTGCAGCCACAGCTCTGGTCAGCCGCCTCAACAATGGAGGCACGGAACATGACCCATTCTGACTCGGTGTCCCTGCCTCCCTCGGAACATTAAGGAAATTCTGTCGAAGGTGGGAATTAAAGCTCCTTCTGACAGGAGACTCTTCCAGACGTTCCCAGCAATTCCCTCACAATACTTTTGGGCCTGCCAGGTCTGACCAGCTTCCTACCCCACCATCAAAGCCAACACACTGGGTGGGTAGTCTGTACTGTAGCATCGTGCATGAGCACAGACGACAGTCCGGACTCGTCCCCCCACACGTAGGTGGAGGGAGGCTACCCTCTCGTTCATCGGGGTAAACGCCAGTATACAGGCACCAAGACGGGGGCAACTATGCCCACCCCTGCTTTGTGCCTCTCAGTGGGAGCAACTCCAGAGTGGTAGAAAGCCCAACCCCTCTCAAGGAAACTGGTTCTGGAGCCAGAGCCATGCGTTGAGGTGAGTCCGACTAGATCTAGTCGGAACCTCTCAAACTCACACACCAACTCAGGCTCCTTCCCCACCAGAGAGCTGACATTCCATGTGCCAAGAGCCAGCTTCTGCAGCCGAGGATCAGACCGCCAAGGTCCCCGCCCTCGACTACCACCCGTCACACACTGCACCTGACCCCTTTGGCCCCTCCCACAAGCGGTGAGCCCATGGGAAGGGGGACCCACATTTCCTCTTCGGGCTGTGCCCGGCCGGGCTCCATGGGTGAAAGCCCGGCCACCAGGCGCTCGTCGGCATGTGCCACCTCCAGACCTCGTTTCAGAGTGTGTGTGTGTGTGTGTGTGTGTGTGTGTGTGTGTGTGTGTGTGTGTGTGTGTGTGTGTGTGTGTGTGTGTGTGTGTGTGTGTGTGTGTGTGTGTGTGTGTGTGTGAAAGACAAAACACCCAAACAGAGGCTCAGTGGCATTGTTTATGCAGTCCAATGTAGTAAAAACTGTCCAGATGTTTACATCGGGGAAACTAAACAACAATTACACAAGAACATGGCACAACACAGGAGAGCCACCTCTTCAGGTCAAGACTCTGCAGTCCACCTACACCTGAAGGACAAGGGACCACCTTTGAAGATAACAAAGTCCACATCCTGGAGAGAGAAGATAGACGGTTTGAGAGAGAAGTCAAAAGAAAACTATGGGTTACAGCTGTTGCGGTTTACCTCAGAAAACAGACACTGCAGAGGACAATCAGTGCATTGCCTCCTCCTCCTCCTACCTGCACAGCTGCACTCACTTGGGCTGATCACCTCCTGAGCAGCATAAAAGGGAGAGCTACCAGGAGGAAGGGAGAGACTGGATCTGTGCCAGTTCTCTCATGTGCGCCATTTGTTGGTGTTTTAATGGCTTTTAAATGGCTTTTAGTTATTTAAGCTTAAGCCGGGCATACAATGTGCAACTTTTTCACTCGTAGCACTCAGCTTCAGCTCAAACTGTACGACTTCCTCGCAGAGCAGATCTCACGAGTCATGCGCTCACACTGCACGACCCAGTTCTCGGATGCGACCTGACTGCTCACACTGTACC